CCCCCCCCCCCCCCTCGTGACTAGGTGCACGTCCCGGGCACTTTACAAACTCTTTTTACCGCGCCGGATGGCCAAAATATTATGCGCCATATCTCGCCGTCGATTTCTACATGGTATTTCATGTTTCTCGCGGACGCGTAGCGAGGTATTGTAAATTGTCTTCCGTCTGGGAGTCTTACTGTCGGTTGTCGAGGTGGTGGCTGAGCCACTCGTGGCCGGGTTGGTTTCGCGTCCTCCGTTGCGTGTACCGTCAAGATTGTTGTCGGTTGGTTGCCCTGTGTGGTGTTGTCCGCTGGTTTGTCATGGTTGCTCGGGGATCCCGTGGGACGTGGTGTGTCGGCGCTCTTTGGAGGCGGTTGCCAGTCTTCCAGTCCGTGTAGTATTTCTCTTCCTTCTTGGAGATAGGCTTGTCTCCCTCTCCCTTTTTGTTAGTTCGTTTCTGCGCCGACAAGATTGACGCTGGTGACGGTTGTTCGTCGTCCGTTTTGTAGAGATCGCCGGGTTGACTTCTGGTGTCGGCACGGTGATGCCGGAGGTCGCCGAGTTCCTCCGGCCTCTTATGGTAGGTTCTCCTAAACCTTCCGGGCGTACCTCAATGCGCCCGTAGGGCTGAAACGGAACCGCCACAGTTCCCCGTCCACGTAGCGGCGATATCTCCGAGCTATGTGGGCCGCGTGGTACGGTACCTCCACCATTCTGCCGTTTTTCAGCGTGATCTTGGTTGGTGGTTGGGTTGTAGGTGGTTTTTTGTTCAGTTTGACGCGTTTGCCTGGTGATAGTATCGTGTCTGATAATATTCTGATTGTTGAGGCTGGTGCTGTACTCTCTGGTGTCTTGGCTGAGGTCGTTTGGTTGATCTCAGCCCGTTCTGATGTCGGCTTTGTATTCCCGGAGTGCGCCGAGTCGTCTCCGTGATTTCTGCACCAGACCACCGGGTTGATTCGTTGCCGGCGTTTTGTAGGCGTCGGCTTGATCTTCTCGCCCATCAAGATTTTAAGTTTCTTGTGGGCGATTCTCGCTGATGG